AAAAAAATTGTATTTCAACTGCAGGATGCAGAACAATCTGAATGGTGAGTAAATAAACACAAATGGTTATGTGTAATGTTTATTAAAAACACATATGTATGTATTTCAGTTCGATTAGCTCCAAAACCAAGAAAGAGGAGACTGGCTTGGGCTGAGGATGGCGAAGTGGCCATTCTTGATTTGTGGGAAGAGCGCGTTGCTGATCTCCGCGGTGCACGGAAGAATGGCCACATCTACGCGGAGATGGCGAACGAGCTGGCAAAGTTGGGCCACAACTACAGCGCCCGGGATGTGCAGGTGAAGTTGGCGAACTTCACGCAACGCTACAGGTACGAAGAAATAAAGGAATAATATTCAAAACCACTAAAAATTTAATTCGTTAATAGAAAAGAGAAATTGGCTATGGGACCTTCTGGTGGATCACCCTCAACGTGGCCTTTATACGCAAGGGTGCACCAGATAATCGGTGGATTTAAGGCCAATATGTTTTGCGAGCTGACGCTTGAAAACATCAGCGGTATGTATGCGTTTTTGGAATGTGCCTTACTAAAAGCCGTAATGTGTTTAGTGGAGATATTTGTTTTGTAGCAGAGTGACGCGTCTGTGTACATGCTAGAACTATCAGCTCGTTTAGTTGCAGGTTTAAGTGCGAAGGTACACTTCGATTTTGCACGAGCACAGACATACGGTGGTGCTTCAAAACAAATGTTCCACTAAAACTTAAGTAGATACAAATAACTAAACCGTACCCAGGGTTGGCACCTCATGGATCCGATTGCGTAGTAAAATACCAGAAAAATCGTAGTAAAAAATAGAAAATCGTAGTAAAAGATAAAACTTGGTTATTATTTTAAATTCATATGCATATTTAATGTTTTAAAACAAAAACATAACATTTAAATTTCAATAACATTTGTACTCTTTTTTAAGTTTTGTATTATATTTGTTTCTTTTACAGTGGCGTTTTCTAAATACGAGCTTATAGAACTAAACACTTTTTGCCATTTACCCCAGCACTTTACTTTATTTGAGAATATCGATAATTTGATTTCTACAGAATATTGCAATAAAGCGAACTTAACATTCTGCCTCTGTTGAGCCGCTTTCTATCTTCGTATCCATCTTCGCTATCCATCTTCGTATCCCTCTCACACATTGAATCTTTCTGCCTGTTATGCGAAAATTTGACCGGTTTTGCATATTTATGTTGCATATGTTTTTGGTCAGACGCTTCCTCCACAATTTGTAGTAAAAGTATACATTGAGAACTTGAAGCTATGGCCTGTTTGCCACATATTTGAAGTTATAGTGATTTACAAATAGTTGCTGCCCGTAAGTTGAATGAATTATAAAAAGCGTAGTAAAATAGAATAAAGCGTAGTGGGGTAGCAAGTTTTTAAATTTTTGAAAAATCGTAGCAAATTTACTACGATCGTAGCAAAGTGCCAACGCTGACCGTACCCTATCT